CCCAATTTTTTGCTCTTTGGGTAATTTCCTTTCAAATGTCTCTAGAATTGTGTCACGTGTCGCCATCTCAATTGATTTTGTGGCTCATCAGAGAAAGCTCAGCTTTTTCTGGATGTGTTCCAGTGGCGGGTTTTAACCATTGACATTTTTAGCTGTTTCCTTTCATGCTAGAAGGGTCTTGCAGTGGTGGAGGGACAGTCCTGATGGTTATTCATCTGCTGCTCTTCAATGCTCCTGGGTTTAGAGGCTCTCTTCTTTCCTTAAATAAAATGCTTCTCTCCAATGTTATTGGAAAGATTTTCCTCACTGCAGGATATAGCGGTAGTTGTGTGTGTAATGAGCACAGAGAAGAGGTGCAGGAGCATTGGTGGTTATCTAAAGACCTTTCTTTCAGTCTTTCAGGTTCTTTCAGTCTCTCCTTTCTAGATTTCTGGCTGGTTTTGTGGCTTTTCTTTGAACTTTCTCTGGGGGTCCAGTGCATGGGCTTGGACATGGCGCTGCATGGAGCAAGAGGAACCTTGGTGTGTCTTCAGACTGTCCTCCTCCCTGGACACCCCACTATGGTGTTTGTCCTTTTGGTTTTTGGAGGGTTTTTTTGGTAGCATCAGGACATTGTTCCTGTTCAGTTATGACCATTCCTCATGTCCTCTAGGTTCTCCTGATGTTCCTCTCTATTACCAAAGTGGTCATTTCCCTAAATGTGGTAAATATGGGTGACATTAAGCAAGAACTGGTTAGAATTAAACCCAGCTCCTTTATTTGGTTTCTGGCTGACCACCCTTTGTTCTTCTTACTGCACTTTTTGTGATGCTTCAAACAGGGTCTTAAACAGCAGTTTGCTAAATTTACTGTCTTTTGTAAGACTTGCTTGTCCCACGTTCCTGCTGACTGAGGAATGGGTTGCCATTAGCACCCTGGTCCTACTCCAGGGTAGTAGTTATTGTTGGCTTCTTACACTCCCTCTGTAATTTCAACAGTGTGTAGTTTTTCATGCCCACTTTATTGAATTGTGTTACTAAACTCTGATAAACAGATTTCTGTGAGAAGTGGCTGCAGTTCAATGGTGGATGAAATAATCTCTTTATATAAATTTGTTTGTAGACCTCTGGGAAAACCAGCGTAATATAATTGTAAGAATATATTTAATATTAAGGTTGTTGTGAATTGTCTTTTTTTTATTATTCTGGAATTATTTTTATTCTTTTTTTGTCCTCTCTTTTGTGACAGTGATTGGAGTTTGCCATTTGCAAAATCCACAGATAGGGATGAGGAGGGATGTTCAGGATGTCAGGAACAAATTAGTGGGGGGTCAGCCTTACTGGCTTTGATTTTTTTCAGAAGTATAACCATTCCATGTTGCGAGACTTTGTAAAATATGTCTGAATATCATGCTTTCATTCCAGAGGGAGACTAAAACCCATGGTGGTAAAGACCATGTGGAAATGCAGTTTGCTTACATATTCCTTTTCCATTTATATCAGGGCAGAGGCAAAGCGAGTGTTTGTTGGTCCTTTGTCAGTAGGAGACAATATTTGTCGTTTCTGCTGTTCAATAAAACTTAACACTCATTCGTAATGATTGAAAGTAAGTTATATGTGCTTCTAAAATCCACAGTTTCCTAGCTTAGGAAAAGAAATGTTCTACTGTGAAGCCTCCCTTAAAAATCATAACTGTATGATTTGTTGGTATATGTATTTTTCTACTAAAAAAAACTACCAATAGCTTGAAAAGCAGTATATATATAAAGAGAAAATTTGTTAAATGATATGGGAAGATCTAACCCTGGGTCACCTGCAAATCTCTCAAACAAGAGCTCCAGGGCAAGTCCTAATTCCAGAGAGTAAAAGTGAAAATTAAAGCTGTAGCCAGTGACTCCTCTAAGTTACCCGGGGTGGATTCATTTGAGTTCCGTTGATTGTGCTTGAGAATATAATGTGAAAGGGATGGTAGAGGTCTTCTCAGCCACTGCCCGTCCAAAGTATCTCCATGGAGACAGAAATATAACCTGATGGTCTGTCAAAAGTTGCTGTTCATAACCAGAGGCATTCATTAAATAGTAGATGAAGCAGGAGGCAAACTTCTGCATTTTTAACCAACCTAAAAAAAAATGCCATTTGGAGAATGTGCTTTATGGAGTAGTTTATCCAGATACCACTGATATTTCATGACCTGAGAAACAGACCATTAATGTGATAGATTTATTTATCATTTTCCTTGCTTCTTCAATTATAAACTGTCACATGCAGTAAGTAGAGAAGAAAAAACAGAGCAAATACAATACAGATTCAAAAATATCAAATCTGACCTAATGCTGCAACTTTGTGCCGTTTTGGTTGCATATGAAAACCTTTCAAAACCTTCTCACCAGATTTTGGGCTCCTCTTGGATCCTTCAGGATGGACCTGCCTCCTAAACTTCTTATCCCCGAGCAGTGCACAAAAACCAGAGGGTTAAGGGAAAAAAAAAAAAAAAAAAAAAGGAGCATTGGTGAACAGGAAGATAAAACATTTTATGTTGAGTACTTTTAAAACTGTTCTTAATGTGCTATAAAACTGGATGCTTCACTTTTTCATGAACTGTGTGCAAAAGGAGAAGCACTGACTGTAAAGTTGTCATCAGTTAGGTTTGGTTTATTGTTGCAGCGCCTGCCCAATAATGTGATCTCGGAAAAGGTAAACAACATAGTTTTAACAGTGAAAAATCTGCCTAATATAAATACAGCTAAGTTCATTGCTGTTCAGAACTTGAAAAATACGACTGTAACGTTGCATTTTCTAGTGGAGTTAACAGAGGAGCACAGTGCAGCCTTACGAGCAATATATCTGAGGCAGGGAAAATAGGTAATACATCTAACCGGGGAGTCTCTGTGGCATTCGCATAGAGGAAAGCACAGTAGCTTTATTTAATTGAGAAAATGAATCAATTACAATGATGTTGCATCATCAAATGCAAGGGAAATAGCAGATATGTCATTACATCGGGTAACAGTGTTAAAAAGTAATTGAGTGTCTTAAGCATTTTGAATCAATTCCAGGTACTGGCACAGCTACCTTAATGCAAAATTTATGAAGATGATCTCAAAATAATATGTCGCCATCAAAATTGTGTAATAAAACCCGGTAACGACGTGTGTGCGAGCGAGCACGCGTCTCTCGCAGAAGCGGGGCCCGCTGCTCCGGCGCAGAGTTGCAGTGTCACAGGAAGAATTCGGTAATACTTGGATTTGCCTTGCTTTATTTTTCATCAGAAGCACCGAGTGCTTTTATTAGAAATAATATTTTAAATCTTGTTCTGAAATCGGGTGTAATCGTATCTGTGTTGAGGGTGCTATATACGATCCCACCTTTATTCCTTTTCATGACAAGACCTATTTTCCTGGTAAGGAAACATGACTGATGCTCTGTTTGGATGAAAAACTGAATTGCCTGCTCATGTGCACTCATCTAAAGGAGCTCCGAATCCTCCCTATTGAATAAGCTGAGTCTGTTTCGTTATTTAGCATCTGGAAGTGAAGTATTAAAAAAAAAAAAAAAGTCTTTTTATATCCACAGAATATTTTGCTTGTTAGCAATAATGTAAACCAGCAAATTTATTCTGTTGAATTGTAATAGGTCGCCATTGACCGTTAAAAAAATATAATGGGCTACTTCTATCTGTTTGTTATTTTATTTTCTTCCTTGGAAAAAAATAGAATTATAGACAGAAACTTTACGTGTGTATTTGTGTGCTACTAATACAATAATGAAAGACTTCACGTGTGCATAATGCCAGCTATTTTCTTGGTGCTAGTTTTCAACCTCCTCTATATTACATTTTAGTACCTGTAAAGTATTATTGGAGGATCCTGCCTCTGGCTGGGTGTTGGGGGGGGACGCTTCCAAAGCTGATGGCAGCCCCGCAACATTCATCATCGTGGCACTATACAACAGAGAATATTAAATGTAAGGGGCAAGCCAAATAAACTGTGTTAGAACAGAAGACAACGTTTTCGCTAAGGACTGCATTCTGTTTGCGTCGTGGTTGTGTTGGGTTTTGAGCAACTTTGGGTATCTGGAGGAAAAATACGGCATTAATTCTCCACACCCCTTAGAAACGGTCTGCGTATACAAATTATCAGAATACCAACATCCCTAAATTCAGTCAGATGTCTTGTATTTAATTGTTTGTATGGTAGTATTGCCTTTGTTTTCATTTTGTAATGGAAAGGTGCTGGGCCAATATGGGCCAGAATGTTTTGTAGCTCTCTGTAAGCAGCCCAGTGGTCTGTTACTACAAACTATTAATTAATTTCCCAACCAAATTGTTATTAAGAAATTTAAGGAAGGGTTGGAGACGACCGAGAACAAGTCTTTCCTTCGCCATTTAAAACCATGCAAAGTTCATCAAACTTTCCAGGCTCACAGATGGCAACACTCTGCTTATCGTCAGAGTAAAACTGGGTTGGAATCTATAAGAAACTTGGGTAAAAGTGGAGTATTGAAGGCTTTCCTGAGCAGCGGCAGATACTTCAACCACATAATTAAAGTTTTCTTCACAAAAAAAGGGATTGTGAGCAGAGTCTGGCAGTAATCCAAAATTCTAATTTCTGACTATGATTTAATTTCAATTTTAAATAAATCGGTTTTTAATTTAAAAAGAGTGAGCTTCATAACATTAGCAATGATTGCAACATTAAGCCCAGTGTTCACAATCTAGCAATATAAAACATTATTTATATCTGAATCGTAAACAGCCTTTTGAAATGGATTATGGTTTTTCTTCCTATTCTAATACAACCTGGAGGGTACTAAAAAGTGTTGTGTGAAATTAACATTCTGCTGACTTTCGCCTATAAATGAGAAGCGAGCTATTAACATTTGTGTATTTTCATTATGTAAATTGTGTTAACACATGCCCACAAATTGCCACCAGCGATGCAATAATTTTCTCTCAGTGATCATAATGTGTCCAAGTGAGTCATTTTGATTATGACATGCTAATTACATATTGCCTTTTTTCAGATTCAGAAAAACCAGGGATCTTTAATGGTAAGCTTTATGAGTTCAGAAAAAAATTCACTTTTCTTTTTCCTGATGGCTGCTTCCTCTGCATGCTTGAATGCCTTGTTTTAAACTTAGCAAATTGCATTTTGAAGAAAATGCAAACCTTTAACTGCCTGTATTAGATTAGGTACCATTAGAAATAATAGAACATCCTGAGCATCAATGTTTTTATAAGAGTTTGCTGCTGTTGATTAATCTTGCTATATTTTATTGCATTAATGATTTTTTCTTTCCACTCCACTGTAAAGATATTGCATATAGGCTAATACTTTTTCCCTCTCTTCTTTCCATTGCAGCCTCTCCAGTTATTGCAGTGCATTGTTGATGAGGTGAGTCGTCGTCTTATGTGCTTTCACTCCTAAAGTCATTCCTAATGGAGTGGAAAGCTTATATTTTGTTTCCTAATGAAGCACAATGCCCAACATCCTCTGAGCACAAGTTGCCTTGTGCAGCTTGGAGCTGTCGAACATCAACTGGCCTCGTCCCACTTTATGCTGGTTTTCTGCTCTTAATATTGAGGCTTTGAAAAACTCGATTGTCTCAAAGGCTTGTCCTTTTAGCTCTTTAGGCCCTAAAGCCTCAACCCCATCGTGTGAGTTGATCCTCTCTGCGTTTGCCAGATGAGTTGGAACAGAGACATTCAAGTGGTGGCAGACTTTATAGCGGGCACGTTTCACGCGGTGTAGAGAGGCAAAAGGGTGTTTGGATAAGGAGGGAAAATTAGGTGTGAGCAGGAAAGCGTCAGAACATCGTCTGATTTGTTTTTATTTAATCAGAAGGACAAAATAAAAAGCTGAGGTGGGGGAGATCCAGGTGTGAACTGAATTCAGGCCAGCAGGCTGAATTTCGGTGGGTCATGTCATGTTTCTGGATTGAAGCACTTTTTTGCAGCTCCCATCTCCCCTCCCAAACTGAGGTGTAAGCAGGGGTCCCAACTCTTGACAGGCAGGCAGTAGCCCAGGGCAGGCTGCTGTCACTTTTGCCTGGCTTTTAATGTTTAATGAGATGATTATGATGATTGGGAAGTTTGAAGAAGGAAAAAAAAAAGCTATAACTTTTTTAAGACTAGTGGAATGTCGTCGCTGGCTCGTCAGGTTGGAGTCACTGGGGGTTGAAGTGCCCATTTAAACCATTCAGCTGCTTCCAACCCATCCTGTGTATCAGGTTTGTTTAGGTTGGTGTAAGCTCAGTGTGATACTCCACCTCGATTGTGTCTCCATCTGTAACTGCTGCCTGTATGAACTGCTAAACTCACCGCCCTCACCTCTGGTGAACACTTTTGTCCTTTTATTAGAGAATAAAAGGGGTTAAACCCATCTGGCAGCTGGGACCACGCAGCCGCTCACACAGTTCTCCCCTTTTTCCCCCCCAGAAGGGTAGGGGGAAGATGCAGAAAAGGAGAGGAAAGGAAGGAAAAAAAACCTCGTTGAGATAAAGACAGTTTAATAGCATATACAAGATAAAGTAATACAACACAAGTCACTCTCACCACCCAGTGAGTTGGTCGGTGCTTGTCCTGAGCAGCAATCGCAGATTGCCTCCCCCTGGCCACCCCCCATTTATATACCCCACAGACCCCATGATGTCTATGGTACAGAACACTCCATTGGCCATTCTGTTGTTCTGTCTATGCTTATTCTCAGCTGGAAGCTGGAAAAAATACTTGAATAGTATAAACATCACCTAGCAACAACTAAAACAATATGCGTTACTGACATTCCTTTCACACCAAATCTGAAAACACAGCAAACCCTAGAAGGAAAATCAACTCTATCCCAGCTGAAACCAGGACAGTGACTTAATGACTTAGCTGAGCTTTTTAAAAGTGACATTTGGGCCTTGAGGGATGCAGTTCAAATTAAAATGAACAAGTAGCCTTTGTGTAAAGGAAAGAAGTCCTCGTAGTCCTCCAGCCATGCTAGTTCTTTTACCTGGCTCTTTATGGCAGTTTGGTTGTTTGGGAGGTTTGTAGGCAGTTCTGCTTCTTTCTTCTTTTTCATCTGTTGTTATTCCTGTTATATATATCTTTGGTCAAGGCATGGCAATTCCAAAGCACCAATGCTCTATATACCAGCAGCAAAAGGCCATCTCTATCCTAAAGAAGTTAAGCTAAAGGTGCTTGTATTTATATTTGTGTTTTGCTACTTCTAGGCAAATTACCTTTAAATGGGCTGGCACTAGTGCCTATATCTAAACTCAGTATTCTAAAATGGAGCCTTAAAGACTCTCATATTATGGTAGAGCTTCTTGCAGCTTTCACATCTTTTCCTCAAGATTAGAATTGCTCCTGTTCTCTCAGAAAAACTTTAACTGAGAAACTTTGTGCAGTCTGTGAACATCTGAGCACCAAGCTAGCTTTAACGGTAGTGTTTTGTTATTTACTTGTTTTAACTTATTTTATGTTCCGCAGTATGCCACGGAGCCATCATTCTCCTGAGCTGGTGGTTCAGGGAGCACTGTGCTCGTGGGCACGTTAAGACGTCAGGTTGCAGAGAATAGCTCAGCTGAAAGTTCTTTAAGTGCAACTCGCTTTGTTTTGCAACACACTCGGTGTCTAAATGGAAGTTGCGTGCCATAACGCGGGGAGCCTGGGGGGAAGAGGAGAATGGATTGGCTCTGTAGTGTTATTTGCTCGGTACGTGTGTATTGTTAGAGGGTCATTTAATAAGATATATAGCATTTAGATAGCGGCTGCCACACCTGGAAGTGCAACTTCTTGGCACGACGGTGTCTTGGAGGATATTTATATTAAGGGTTACTCTGTTCTAGCTAATGGGTAGCATTGACTTTAACAGATCCTCCTGCCTTGTCCTGTGTACAGAGGCCTCAAAGCAAAATGTGTTTAACTTGTGACTTTTTTCTTTTTTTTTTTCCCCTCCTCACTTTGTCTTCTGTAAGTTGTGCCTCCTGGGGAATAACAGAGGGACCTGCTTATTTGGCTTATACCCACTCTTCCTTCTACGCAAGGACCTTTTGAGAGGGAAAGTCTCTTTACTATCTGGTACCGTGCAGCTGTTGTTGCTACCATGAGTATTAAAGATTAGAAATGCTTAGTGATGTAAGACTGATTATTTTGGGTCAAATTTTCCCCTTGGCTGTAAAGAGGTCCTAAAACTCCAAAGAGGTAGGAGCAGAGCCCCTCTCCCGCAGCTGCGCTGCGCAGCCCGGCCCCACAGGAGCCCCCAGACACTGGTGCAGAATTCCCTGCTGACCTTAATGACGATCAGAACAGCAAAGAGTGACGAGCTGTAGCTCGCTCTTGCTCCAAGCAGATAGCTCACAGCAGCACTCCCACAATGGCACAGCTTTTGGATGAGCCATGGTGTCACAGGGTACTGGAGAAATAGATCTGCGAGGGTGGGATCGAGCTGCCGTAAGGACCTTCAGTCCCTGCGTAGCTTCAAGCCATAATAATAATTTGCTGACGTTGTTGCAGTTGAAAACTCTGAGTCTTTTTTTTTCCTAAAGTCTCTTAATACGTCTTTTTATGTGACAGAGAATATTTTTGATTTCTGGCTCCTAAAGTTGGGGTTAAACAGCTCTGTGGATGTGAGCGTTTCTTGAAATTGGGTCTTTGCTGGCAGCCTTTACCCCTGGATCCAGGCTAAAAACATTGGGATTAAACAGCTCTGTGGATGTGAGTGTTTCTTGAAATTGGGTCTTTGCTGGCAGTGTGTTTACCCCAGCCTTTACCCCTGGATCCAGGCTAAAAACTCCAGAGCTTGGTACAGGGAGAACCTAGAAGTTGTTAAAAATGATGAAACGGAAGTCATGTTAAGACCTTGATTGTTTATATTCGTTGCTTATTATATTGGCAGTCATGGAGTTTTTGTAGAACTTTTCCATGTTCCACCAAAAGACAACAGGAATCTGAAAGTTAGTGTTCTGTTCATTCATAATCATCTTTAATTCATAGGATTTATTGATGACTGAACTAGTTAAGAGGTTACTTCTGTATCACCTGGGTACCCTGGACTTTTCTCAAGCTCTGTAGGTGGTGCACTTGTGGAATAAAAACTGTCCAGGGGAGTTTTTAAGTGTTCTGCAGGAGCTGCTTTTGAAGTCTTACTGAAATGTACGAGACATTGCAGGTCACTTTGGCAGTTTAGAAAGTCTGTCTGTTCATTTTCTAGGTTTTAAATTTGCTTGCAGAAATTCTGCAGGATAAATAGGTGATCTGAGAAGTAGGATAATTTAACCAAAAAAAAAAAAAATCAGGCACGGTTCTTCTCAAATCGCAGTAAACTACGCCTGAGTTTTGGGGGTTTTTTTGTTAAATTATGTTTTATTGGTCTTTCAATGGCATTGGTTCTGGGATATTTTTTTTTAATGGCAAAATTAGCGAGGGGCGTTGTGTGAATAGGATACATGCCTGCCAGGACCTTTATTTTTTAACATGTGGTAACTTATAGTGAAATCTGATCCAGCTACAAATAAGGCACGCTCATTTAAGCAATGGTCCTAATCATAGCAGCATCTCCCACCATGGTAAGGCTCCTGCCTCATCCTGTCCAGAGATGGGGATAGACTAGTCGTTAACGTAGTTCATCCTGCAACGCAGCCAGCAATAAAGGCAGGCTGCTGGTATCTGAGAGCTGAGAATCATTTAATATTCTAGCACTCAACTTAGTTTGTCTCCAGCTCACCAAAATGCTGGATGGAAAGCAGTGAGTGGTGCAGATGAATCTCTATTGGGAAGGACACGCATCACTTGCTGTGCGCGTGGTCTTTCCAGAAACGCTCCGACAGGAAGGAGAACGGAGTCGTGCTGGAAGCAGGAGCCATTGCCCAGCTTGGAAGATGTCCTAGACGTGGCCCTATGTTTCATGATCACGCAGCTGAAGGATTTGCAATGCAACCTACTCAGCACCAGGATTCTGCTTCAAAAGCACTGGGTGCATTTAAAAAAAAAAAGAAAAAAAAGAAGAAATTATGTCATGGGAATGTCTTCCAGATGATAATTTTGAAATGCAAACAGCAAAGCCCCAGAATAATACTGTTAATGTTGCGTTGGAGAAATGCAGGCCACCCAATTTCACTTTGTGGGTTGACTCTGAAACCTAAAGATTGCAAGTAAAATCAGTTAAAAACCTTCCTTGCTGCTCACGGTCTCGGAGTGTCTCCCATGATTATTTTGTTGTAGCTGACAAAAAAATCTGTGCCCTTCTCAGCCTCCATATCTCCAGCAACCTCCTGGACAACTTACATGGTCCAGTTAAGTCTTCTCTTTGCTTCTGTCTGCAGGAGTCACTCAATAAATCAAATTCCATTTCCAAACAGAGATTATGAGAACTGTAGCCTTGATTATAATTATGCATTTTCCTTTAAA